CGGTACCTTTTACCACTTAACAACAGATGAGTCAGTCAGCAGCAGCTCTAACCCACGTCCCTCCTGACCTGCCCTCTCCTAAGTGAAAATAAAGCTGCAGTAAGTCACTTTTATAAAAATATATGTTTCCACATATTTGTTAAAACTGTCATTATGTTGTGACAGTATGGTATGAGAGGTAATCCGTGAAAAATCTATTTCCTGTGCCTTTTCCCAGTGCTATCGAGAAACAACCAATCAGTGGAAGGAGAGTTTTAGTGCTGTCAATCACAATCTCATGTGATACTGCTCATCCTCCCTCCTCTTGCTCTGTGCTATGCTGCAGCTAGCATAGCCTGCTGTGAGTGTTCAGTCTAGTTAGCATAGCTACCAATGACAGCAAATAAACTGCTTTCCTGTAACAATAAGTTGTTTCTCCACCATTAGCACATTTAGCAGTGAGTGAATGAAGTTGATTAACAGCACTAAGACCCTCCTCCTGGTTCTGATTGGTTGTATTTGACCGGAATGTTGCATTACTTTTGCCAGCAATAGTAGTTCAGGAAGGAGATGGAGGAGATTGATTGTTTTCACAGATTATCTGTCTCATAAACTGTCATGACATGGTGACAGCTTTAACAAATATGGAGATAACATATTTTTATTAAAGTTATATACTGCAGCTTGAATAAAATGCAACTACATAGCATTTTATGTTTTAGAAGTCTGGATTGTTTAAAGTGTATTTTGCACATTGCTTTTGACTGTTACTAGATTTCTGAGAGACATTTCAGAAATCTAAAACTAAGAAAAAAATTAAGCAACCTACTTGCATACTGTATGTTGACTGTTGCATGTAAAATTCATGAGCAGTAAATATTGTGCTAGTTATCAGTATTGGACCAAAGAAAGCAAGGCAGTTGCAAGCCTTTACATTTGTGACGCTTTTTATGGGTCACATTATAGACTCAAAAAATTGTAACAGCAGCTGTGCAGGAAGGGGGGCCCAATCCAATTTTTTGTCATGGGGCCCAAGATTCCTGGCGGCGCCCCTGTTCCAATATAACAGATTTGAAAGCAACTTCAAATAAGCAATCCTAATGATGTGTGCAGTATTAGGTCAAGGAACAACAGGAAAACCTTTTTGCTTTTCTAAATCATCGCAGGTCAGAAGGGATAGATGATTCTTTTGTCCTTCCTGTCTTCCAAAAGGCTTAAGGCAAGGGTGCCCAAAGTCGGTCCTCAAGGACCGGTGTTCTGAAGATCTATGCTACCCATAAATCCGTCCTACCTTGTGGTAATGTGCATGCGCACGTTGATGCTACGTCACATACTCCTTACTCAGCAGATTTCTTATAAATACATCCTACCTGTGGAAGTTTTGTTTCATGTGTTTTATTTCATCGCAGATTACGGTAAGCTTTATTTAATTTATTTTATACCTGGCTTTCATTAAGCTGCTGTATTACTTCATGGTTTTAGTTTACATGACAGGCAGCTTGTAAATATATTTATAAATGGCTATAGTTTTCCGTCTGCAATGTCGTTACTGTTAAGTTATTTGGCGGTTAATCAGTGTGGTAACTTACCAGGTCACAGGTAAGCTGCAACTGTAAGTTATATTTTTTGTCAGCAGTTGTTTTAATAAACTGTTATTTTTTTAAGCCTCCTGATGAGTATCTGATCAGCAGTACAACTGGATTAACACTCACTGCTGTTTTGCCCATAAAGAAATTTTTTAAGACCTATCTGAACTTTTCCTTGCTGCCAGGAGCATTGATGGCACTACTAATAGGATAAAGTGCAATACTTTAGTGCCATTGTATCACTGTTTTAATCATATTGCTTAATTTTTGTCTTTCTTTTAGGGACTGAAGCTTCTGTGGTGGAGGTGTCTTGTCTTGTGTGTTTTGTTGAAACACCTTCTTTTGTTTTTGTTTACTGTGTTTTTGTAGTGTCCAGGGTAATCCCTTTTCTTCACTGGATGTTGCCTCTTTCCTCAGTACTTCACCCACTGGTAAGTCTCAGTTTCCTTTGAAATTTAAACATTTTATTAAAATCAATTTTATTAAAAATGCATTCACTGTTTTAAAAATTCAATTTCAGTTAATTTAAAAACATATTCAAGTTTAATTTTTTGTAGAACTTCTTGAATCCCGTCTCATCATTTCCAGCAGAATTTACATGTGTCCTCATTACCATTACATTTTCTTGGAGTTATTCCAGGTGGCGTTGTTGGTTTCCAATATTGTAAACTTTGATATCCGATATTTGTTTCATAATAAAAATAAAATCCACCCGAGGTTGCCACATAAAAAATAACAAAACATTGCACATTCTGGCTCATGAGATGTCTTCACTGTTTGAAACATAACTATATGATCATTTCATCAATTTCATCAGCACCTCTTGATTTTAACCATAAAACTGTAAGGAAACAATGATCAGGTTGAAAAATTTGTCCCCTGGTTCTTCGCTTTGCTGCATACAGAAGGTCTTGACCAAATAGTTTTGTGACACGTCCTGTAACGTAACTACGTCTCTCTCTCTCTTTTATAGTAACACATATAAAACATAATTCATACAACTAATACAAGATTTATTGAAAATATATGAAGTCAACAACTTGAAGGAATTTCAAAAATTTTATTGTCATTAATGGGAACAGAATTTCTGGTTGCATATATTAAAGCATAGTTATTTCTTGTGATTGTTACAGAGAATCTTGAATTTTTTTCATTGTATGAGAAATACATATTTAGGTAGGTCTTTAACAAAGTTAAGTGAATAAGTATAAGTTGTGAGTTTCTATCAGATTTAGTGAGTTAATGTTATCTGATGAAATGAAATGCTTTCATTCCCAAAACTCACCAATCCCCTATCACTTAGGAGATGGTTTATAACGACTACACTTTTCTCCAGTCAGATACGGGTCACATTTCAGCGTGTATTTAGCCTCAACGTTTCCATACTTTCCTTTGCACGTGAAAGTGTGAGTGCCAGGGCTCAGGTACCTCACGCACTGTACGAGAAGGTCGTCATATTTCGGATCTTCATCCCAAACCTCAATCTTCAGAGCCAGGCTTGTGTCAACCTTCATGAGAAAATTTGAATGGAGGATCATTCAGATGCATATTTTCACATTAAAAGTCAAATTATTTAGGTGATATAGAAAATAAAACTGTATTGAACAGTTTTAAAGTTGATAAATGCAGAGTAATGTTAGCCGAAACACAACAGCACAAGATATGAAATACATCAGCTAGGCTGTGTCTGTTTACACAATATATGTGTAAAGTGGTTTCTGTTCAAATATTTTCTGATTTTTTTCTGCTTTTACTTTTATTTGTACTCGACCATAAACACCATGAAATGTGCATGGTCTATTCAAGTAAAACCAAATACTTTTTCATGCAGGTGCTGACCCAGTATCCCAAAACATAAAGAGTCTGCAGCCTGGCTTGGATCTAGAAATGGAGTTGATTGTACATTCCCCAAGTTCAGAATATGCAGTTTGTCTGCATTACATATCATTTTATACTTTGATTTGTCTTATTTGATTTATTTATTTCAAACAGGTTTTTAAAAATAAAAACTAAGCAATCAGTAGGACAGAGAAAACAATTGGGAAAAAAGTTTTTAGTTTGACATTGAAGGTTCATTTTGTTCAGTTTGGAAAGCCAAGTTTTTATGCTCATGATTTATTTGTAAAAGCAATAAGAGAGGGTCAGCACTTCCTGTCTCAACAACAGGTTAAGCAGAGCAGTGAGTGTGGGAGCCGCATGTCCACAGACACCCAGGTTGGTTCTGAGAACCGAAACAAGAACGAGTCGGGCCTAAAGGGAGGTGCTCTTTTCTTGTCATTGTGGCTGCTGGTTCATGTGAGCAACAAGTTGAAGGACAAATTAGTTCATAATCAATAATTTAACATCATCTAGTTGAAATTGAAACTACAATGCATTTCTGATATTAAATTATATTTGATCCATTATGAAATTTTTGCTAACATAGTTTTGGTGGCACCAAAGAATAGATCAGCTTTCTTTCAAGACTGATGCATAAAAACCTAATTCTCCTCACTGCCGGTAATTTAATGTTGATTTTTTTGCAAAAATAGATGCTGGTATTAACTCTATAAGTTCTACTACATCAGCAGAGTTAATGGATCAGTTTGTCTGTTGTTGAGCTTTTTCAGCTAATCTGTGATGATAACGTTTACTGACCTTGCCCAAATTAAACTCAGCGTTCCACCACGGATTATTGGATTCGATCATTTTGGTCCTGCGTTGTATGGAACCATAGAACATCTTGGCATAGCTGTGAACAAAAAGAGGAGCCATATAAAAGGTGTGCTCACCAGGTTCCATAAAATATTTGTTTTTTACCTTTGCATCAACCCACCCATCAGTTACTGAAAAATCGTCTCCAAATAGATCCCAGCCTCGAACAATGGTCACTGATAGAGTTCCCCTTGAGACGTGCAGAGGGCAGCAGTTAGAGGCCACATTAGGAGTCATGTCGTCACAGTGTGGTTCTTCGGGTAAGTTCCACAAAGCATTGTCCTCCAAATAATGTTCAATAGCAGCTTTCATCTCTTCCTGTTGTTGCTTGCTTGGAATGAGCTCATAGAGAGGTCGAAGGGAGTATGAAACAACATCTGGATGTTCTTTCAGGCTCTTTAGCCAGTTCATGTAGCCCATGGAATCATTTTGGGAAATTGAAAACTTCCCCAACCAACCATTTCCTCCTGATACCTTGGTGAAGTGTCGGTGGAGACCAGAGCGGTAGCCAGTGGCAAAGTCCTTGTTTTGTAGGACACTGCTGCAAGACTTCGGGACACTAGAGAGTTTCACCTTCCCCAAGCCAACAGCAACACCCATAGATAAACAGTTATGGATCTGGGTGAAAGAACAGCACAGAAATTAAAAAAAAAAGCTGCATTACACCAGATATTTGCATAAAGAGCCAGACACAAGCAGAGAAGAATATAGTCATATAGAAATCCTTGGAAGTTACAATGGACAAAACAAACAATCAAAAAAATTAAAAATTCACTGTCCGCTGTGTTTATTATTCTTATTTTATTTTATTTAAAATTGAGAAGCGATTTATTATTCATCCTGTCCCAGTGCAAGCAGCATTTTTTATGCCTCTGTGAACTACCTGTGTAAAATGTCCCAGTCTGTAAATCAAACCACCAATCCAATCAGTAAGCACCGTCTTTTTTAAGTCAATAAGCAGTTGTTGTCGAGGTGTGCCGTGCTGTTTTAACTGAACAAAATAACATGAAACACAACTATACTGAACAAAAATATAAACACCCCATGTCAAATATTGTTGCCATGTGGAGTTAACAACTGTAAATGAGCATTTGCTGACATTTATTGAACAAAAGGAATATTTCTCTTGAGTTGTGTATAATTTTTAATCCAACTTGCTGTCAGTGAGCATTACTCAGTGAGTTGTTTTTGTTTTTACTCAGTGCATCGATGGGGCATGTCCAGTGGGTGATCAGATAAAATGTGCAACAACTGGACAATCCATGGCCTTGGGACAATTAAAGGCAACCTCAAAATGTCATATTTTATCACAATTTATAATGCCTCAGATTTTGTAAGGTATGCTGGAGCGTGTAATTGGCATGCTGGATGCAAGGATGTCCTCCAGAGCTGTAGCTGCATGGCTCAATGTCCGTTATTGGACCATAGGCTGTTTAAGGATTTCTTTCCAACAAACTGGCACTACTGCAAATCGACCTCATCCTCGTTGGCCACCTGACCACTCCACCACAAGATTGCCACATCCAGCTTGTTCATCTGCGGGATCGGCTAAGACCAGCGACACAAACAGCTGATGAGACTTCGGTCTGCACAACAGACGCATCACACCTTAGACTGTCTGTAACCACTTACGTGAAGCCAACTTGGACAAAATCAAATTCCTCAACCTGACCCCTATTATGTTCAAAGCACTGTCAATCCGCTACAAATGGCCATGCCACTATGTTATCAATGCCGATATGAAGATCAGCAATTACTGAAAATATATTTAGAGTTTCTCTATATATTGCATAACCCACATGTTCATAAACTCTTAAATTTGACATGGGGTGTTTATAATTTTGTTCAGTGTAGATAATCACCATTTCGTTTAATTGGGACATTTTGTAATAAGCAGACAGACGTTATAGGATGCTGAGAAACCTACGAGCGCCTGGAAGGCGGTGGAGGAGAGAGAGAGAGACGGCTGGAGGGTGACAGGCTCCATCACACAGCACAAACAGTTCAGAAACAATAAGAAATGAGAGAAAAAAACCTATTTATAAACAGATTAACTTGTGTTTCAAACTACCTATTGCTAGCTAACACTGCAGCCGTTCTGACTGACGGCCTTATTGTGCTGTTCTCCTGGTACTGCATACCAACTCAGAATCTTTTACCGGTAAGCAGTATCAGACCGTTTCAGCTTACTTACTGGGCATTAGAATCATGGAAGTATCTCATATGGTTGTGTAAAAATCTGTTGTTTTGTGCGTTTTGTTACCTCACTTGAGGTTAATCCATTCAGGGAGGACAAGCAGCTTCGTGAAGATGTCATTCGTCTCAGTCGCCCTCCAAGATGAACCTAAAACAGGTTTAAATTTCTTTAAAATGCTTCCCTGTAGATTAATGTCTGTAACTAATTCACAATGTGTGTGTGTGCCAAAGTTCTCACCAGTCTGAAATAGTGTGTGCCATAGGTCTGTATGAACTCTTCGTAGTCATTCTTTGTGGAGTAGTTGTAGTGACTTGGCAGGATGTCCAACTGATTTTTGAATTTAAAGCTTAAGGGAGGTGTGGTTGATAATATAAATCTAGACACCAAGACAAAATTAGACAATTATTTCAAAAACCATGACCTGTCAGAACGCAATGAAAAAAGTCTAATTTCCATCCTACCCATAACGGTTGCAGGCAACACTGTGTATGCTGAAAGTGTAGCGATCATCGTTGCTCTTTTGTGAAAGGAACTTGTAGCCTTTGGAGCGGGTTCCTCCCACATTGAAGTTGTCAAACAAATACTTATCAATTTCCAATCCAAACTGAGGAAATACAGACAACACATGTAGTTTATAAGGTGTTAAACAAGAAGCCATATTTTTCTATCACAATTCTAATAACCACTTACTTCAGTTCTAACTGAATGCAAACTAAAAAGATAAATAGCTATTTCTTGGAAGAGCACATATGAACTGAAATGAAATGATGAAAGAAAATCAGCCAGCAAGGTTTTTATCAGGGTTGTGTTTTCAAAACTCAGGGCTGCATTGAAAATATTCTGAAATGTTCAGCTTTGAGATGTTTCTTACCGTCCAATCACTGGCGTCTTGGGATGTGTAAGCCTCAACCAGAGAGCTGTTGGGACATTTTAAAGGACGTAATTATTATTAAACATCTATACAGTTCATTTTCATATTTTTAATTAGGTAGTTAAGCTTAGTGAAATTGTGCATTTAACTATTGTTATTTTAATACCTAAGCCTTATTAGGCAGGTATTTATAAACTACAATTAAATAAATTAGAAAATGCTTCCATAAGTGTCTCGGTTTTCAGATTAAAAGTACTTTTGAAAATAAACTCTTAGCAGGCATTAAACACATTTTTCATTAAATCCGCACTTCTGTATTACAAAACATTTTTCTTGGTTTGCTGTATTATTCCAATTTTCAATGTTAGGTCTCCATTACTTTTATGTTGAAAATCATCAAAATTAACAGAAATAAATACTTTAAAATTTATATATGTCGAATCATTCTATATAATATTTTTACTTAGTGATAAAACTTATGAAACAAATGGACTTTTCAATATTATAATTTAGTGAATGGGTCTGTATTTGCCAGTTTTCTTCACTTGGTAAATTTAATCAAAATTTCTAGCTTAATAATTTTACCAATTAATAATTTATAGTTATTCACAGTCAAACTGATACTCATTGTAGCAGGATGGTCCTTGATCAAATGTCCCTTTGTGTATGNTTGCCGGTACTATGACAATAATTTTAATGAGGTACTATGTGCAAATAAGTATCAAATGCTAATACTAACTGTAGTTTTACTTGAGTTGCTTACATTATTCTTTGTAATATTTCCACCGCAACTAGCATGTATAAACATTGATAAACAATTTTACTGTGTAGCATGTGCAGTAACTTTTTCAACACTGTCTTTTCTTTTGAACAAATTAGCTACTGATTGCTGCACTTTTGTCAGGTTTTGATTTTGCTTGAATTAAAAATTCACTGTCCGCTGTGTTTATTATTCTTCCATCCATCCATCCATTTTCTGAACACCCTTGTCCCTCAGTGGGGTCGGGAGGGGTGCTGGTGCCTATCTCCAGCTAACGTTCTGGGCGAGAGGCAGGGTACATCCTGGACAGGTCGCCAGTCTGTCGCAGGGCAACACAGACACACAGCCATGCGCACACACACACACACCTAGGGGAAATTTAGACAGACCAATTAACCTAACAGTCATGTTTTTTGGACTGTGGGAGGAAACCGGAGTACCCGGAGAAAACCCACGCATGCACAGGGAGAACATGCAAACTCCATGCAGAAAGACTGGGGCTGGGAATCGAACCCAGAACCTTCTTGCTGCACGGCAACAGCTCTACCAACTGCGCCACTGTGCAGCCCGTTTATTATTCTTATTTTATTTTATTTAAAAATGAAGAGCGATTTATTGTTCATCCTGTCCCAGTGCAAGCAGCATTTTTTATGCCTCTGTGAACCACCTGTGTAAAATGTCCCAGTCTGTAAATCAAACCACCAATCCAATCAGTAAGCACCGTCTTTTTTAAGTCAATAAGCAGTTGTTGTCGAGGTGTGCCGTGCTGTTTTAACTGAACAAAATAACATGAAACACAACTATACTGAACAAAAATATAAACACCCCATGTCAAATATTGTTGCCATGTGGAGTTAACAACTGTAAATGAGCATTTGCTGACATTTATTGAACAAAAGGAATATTTCTCTTGATTTGTCCATAATTTTTAATCCAACTTGCTGTCAGTGAGCATTACTCAGTGAGTTGTTTTTGTTTTTACTCAGTGCATCGATGGGGCATGTCCAGTGGGTGATCAGATAAAATGTGCAACAACTGGACAATCCATGGCCTTGGGAAAATGTCATATTTTATCACAAGTCAAAATGCTTCAGATGTCGCAAGTTATGTGTCATCGGCATGCTGGATGCAAGGATGTCCTCCAGAGCTGTAGCTGCATGGCTCAATGTCCGTTATTGGACCATAGGCTGTTTAAGGATTTCTTTCCAACAAACTGGCACTACTGCAAATCGACCTCATCCTCGTTGGCCACCTGACCACTCCACCACAAGATTGCCACATCCAGCTTGTTCATCTGCGGGATCGGCTAAGACCAGCGACACAAACAGCTGATGAGACTTCGGTCTGCACAACAGACGCATCACACCTTAGACTGTCTGTAACCACTTACGTGAAGCCAACTTGGACAAAATCAAATTCCTCAACCTGACCCCTATTATGTTCAAAGCACTGTCAATCCGCTACAAATGGCCATGCCACTATGTTATCAATGCCGATATGAAGATCAGCAATTACTGAAAATATATTTAGAGTTTCTCTATATATTGCATAACCCACATGTTCATAAACTCTTAAATTTGACATGGAGTGTTTACTTTTTTGGGTGTAGATAATCACCCAACTGGAACCTTTTGTAATAAGCAGACAGACGTTTGAAGGCTACTAAACCCATGAGCGCCGGGAGGGCGGTGGAGGAGAGAGAGAGAGAGAGACGGCTGGAGGGGTACAGGCTCCAGCACACAGCACAAACAGATCAGAAACAATAAGAAATGAGAGAAAAAAGTTAATTATAAACAGATTAACTCGTGTTTCAAACTACCAATTGCTAGCTATCTTGATGAAATGTGTAGCCGTTCTGACTGACAGCCTTGTTGTGCCATTCTCCTGATAATGCATACCGACCCAGAATCTTTAACCGATACGAAGTACCGGACCGTACCGTTTTACTTTCATCCCTGGGCATTAGAATCATGGAAGTATCTCATATGGTTGTGTAAAAAATCTGTTGTTTGTGCGTTTTATTACCTCACTTGAGGTTAATCCATTCAGGGAGGACAAACAGCTTCGTGAAGATATCAGTCGTCTCAGTCGTCCTCCAAGATTAACCTAAAACAGGTATAAAGTTCTTTAAAATGCTTCCCTGCAGAAAAATGTCTAACTAATTCACAATGTGTGTGTGCGCCAAAGTTCTCACCAGTCTGAAGTAGTGTGTGCCATAGGTCTGTATGAGGTTTGTATACTCGTTCTTAGTGGAGGATTTGTAGTGAGTTGGCAGGAGGTCTACCTGCTTTTTGAACTCTAAGCTTAAGGGAGGGTTGGATGATAATATAAATCTAGACACCAAGACAAAATTAGACAATTATTTCAAAAACCATGACCTGTCAGAACTCAATGAAAAAAGTCTAATTTCCATCCTACTCATAATGGTTGCAGGCGACACTGTGTATGCTGAAAGTGTAGCGATCCTCTTTGCTCCTTTGTGAAGCGAACTTGTAGGTGCCGGAGCCGACTCCTCCCACATCTAACTTGCCAAACCTCAGAACTTTTTGAATACCCAAGCCAACCTGATGAAATACATGTAGTTTATAAGGTGTTAAATAAGAAGCCATATTTTTTTTCCCACTATACTGATTACTTACATCAGTTTTAACTGAATGCAAACTAAAAAGATAATAAAATGCTGTATCTTGGAAGA